GAATCCAACTTGTAAGTAAATGGTCCCTACAGGGATCAAACCCACACCCTTGGCATTATTAGCACTGTTATTATCAGCTGAAGTAATCTCATCCTGTTTAGATTTCATCTGAATTTGAAATCTAAGAAGTCTTAGACGATGGAGACTATGTTCCACTTTCTACTATGTGTTAGACTCTCTAGACAAATGTCTCCTAAAGTGCCATCAGGCTATTTCACTAAAACCTCAAACAAAAACTGATTTTGAGAACAATAAATTTTCCAAATGAACTGAAGTTGGATGTGCAGAAAAATGAAGTGATCAATTTCCTTTCAGAGCAAAGTTTCAGCCCAGAATTTGAGGGAGACCATCTGTCATTATAGCTATGTGTACATCTAAGTCTCCTGCCTGAAATCTCTCCTGAGGCAGGAAGGAGAACAGAAGGGAAAAGGGCTCTGCAAGGCCAGAGCAGCCCGGGCTAGAGTCACAGCATTTGTCAGCAGCAATGGACACAGGGGAAGAAAGACTGGTGAACTGAGGGCTTTTGGGTAGGAAGTTGAATGGAGATGCCTGAGAATGGCATAACAAGAAGATAAGGGTGGTTTGTTTTTTTTTTTTTTGCAAGAGAGCTCGAAGGTATGCATTATGGGGATAGAAAAGAAAAGTAGAGGTCTTAGATCCAGAAGGTTAAATTTTAAGAAAGAACAGCTGTGGGATATGGTGATAGAGATTTGATCTACGGTCAGGGAGGTAGGGATAATTAAGAGATTCTTTTCCCAGGCCTGTTAAGCCCATATCTATTTTCACTCAACTGAGTGTTTTAGTATACAATGATGGCAATATCCACTGGTCTCCATATTTTGTAAGTATTATGAACAATGAAAAAAAAGTCCATCCAAAAAGGGCATTCAATCAGCTGAGCAGGGAGGCTTCACTTGTCTCTGTGTTCTTTCTCTTCGTAAAAAAAAAATATTTTATTCTGAGTTTGCCATGGTAGTCACAAGATTTTAAGAGATCCCAGGGAAAATTATTTTCATTGTTTTTAAACCTGATGCAATTCCCTTCTTATCCTCACCGCAAGATGAAAACATTTCAAATTTAGCAAACCAGTGGACAGTCCAAATGGAGCCTGAAGCTCCTCATCAGCAGCCAGTTGCCTTGCCAGGAGTTTCAGCAATCCACCTGATGGCTGGCAATTTCTCCTTCATCTATTCTTGTTCCCATAGAAACAGAAACAAAATAGTCAAACTTAGGTAAAGCTTTTTTTCTCATTTTCTTCTCATTTTTTTTTTTTTCCTCAAAGGAACAACAACAGCAAAGATGTTCATGAAGTGTTCCTGTTTTCTGTGACCTCGGGCTCTTTTTCATCAGAACTGACAGAAAATAAGCAGGCAGCTACAGAACCATAAAGTCCTGTGGAAACTACAAGAGGTACAGGCTCAAGTGATATAGAGATATAGAGATATTTCCTCAGGAAAGCATACAGACAATGAGTCAACAGCAGTGAAAGATCAGTAGGAGTTTACCAAACAAAAAAACATCATGAAAAAAACACCTGTAGGCATGAGTTCCTGTCTTTGTAATTTAATGGTATTCATTGGCCCTAGTGAGTGAGAAGCAAAATACATTGTTTGCGTTTCTTTCGCTATTCCGTGTACAGATATGATCAAAATATTTGTTGAAATTGAATTCTTCCTTTTGTTATAACCATTTTTTGAAAGCTACAGCCTTGTAGATTTGTAAGTGCTTGTGCTCACACATCTTTTGGGCAATATGTTGCTTTCACTTATTCTTACTGAAATTATTTTGGTTCTCTAAGGGTGTAGAGGAGCAGCAGTTGGCCCAGAGACTGTGTTTTATGGCACACATTCCTGTAAAGGAAGGCAATTTTACTTGTCATTAAAATATACCAAAAGGGAAAAGAAAGTATCTTTCCCAGAATGGGCTCCATCCTGCCTCGAAATTGGTGGATTTTATCGGCTATGAAGCCCTTCAGAAGGACCTCAACAGGTTGGAGAGATGGGAAGAGAAGAACCATCTGAAATTCAACAAAGGCACACGCAGGGTCCTGCACCTGGGAAAGAATAATCCCCTGCACAGTACAGGCTGGGGGTTAACCTGCTGGAATGCAGCTCTGCTGGGAAGGACCTAGGGGTCCTGGTGGACAACAAGCTGTCCATGAGCCAGCAGTGTGTCCTTGCGGCCAAGAAGGTCGCATTAGGTAGAGCACTGCCAGCAGGTCAAAGGAGGTGGTCCTGCCCCTCTACTCAGCCTTGCTGAGGCCACATCTGCACATCTGCAGTGCTGTGTCCAATGCTGGGCTCTTCAGTACAAGAAAAACATGGAGCTCCTAGAGAGGGTCCTGTGGAGGGCAGCGAAGATCATTAAGGGACTGGAGCATCTCTCTTACAAGGAGAGGGAGTTGGGCCTGTTCAGCCTTGAGACGATCTCATCAGTGTCTCTAAGTATCTGAGGGGAGGGTGTCAAGAGGATGGAACCAGGATCTTAGTGGTGCCAAGCAATAAGATAAGAGGCAATGGGCAGAAACTGGTGCACAGAAAGTTCCACCTGAACATGAGGTAGAACTTCTTTACTGTGTGGGTGAATACACAGTGAGACAGATTGCCCAAAGAGGTTTCGGAGTCTCCCTTGCTGGAGATGTTCAATAACTGTCTGGACACAGTCCTGTGCCATGTGCTCTAGGATGAACCTGCTTCATCAGGGACCAGATGCCCCACTGTGGTCCTTTCCAACCTGACCCATTCTGTGATTCTTTGGTGTTCCAGAGAGACATATCACACATGAATGACAGTGCTCCATCTGAATTCACACTAATCACAGAATTGTCACCCCCTGTCCATCATCCCCAAGGGATAACACTTTTTGGTTCTCTTAGTGAGATGTTACATGAGCAGGTGGACATCAATTTAAAACCAGTCTTGTTAATAAGCTGGAAAGGCATCCATCCCAAAAGCTATCATAATGAAAACACCGTTCTAGGAGCTAGTTTTCGTATTGTGACATGATTTTACAACACTTTTTGATGAGTTTTCATTATAATTTAGAATCTTATATATGCAGACACTAATTCTTGTGGTCTTCATGCCTTGACAGCCTTGAGGTACTTCTACTGCAACAGATGAGAAAGCTAACTAAGCTGGTGATTGTCAAGAGTAACAAAATGGTTAAGGAAAACCAAAACCTCTTGTCTGTTCTTACGAGAAACATCTATTTCCATTAACACTTTCACATTTTAATGCAGCCAGGAGTGATTTCTCGATGGTTTTCATTAGTAAGGAACATTTTAGGATTTTACCTAAAGTGCATTTGCTAACAAGAGCACTTACTTTCCTTCCATCATTTTCTTACTTGAAGTAGAAGGAAGTAATTTTCATGTTATGAGAAGTCAAATAATGGTGAATCCTGCCTCTTAAAATGTGTTAGACAGAAATCTGCAATTTCAGTTTGGAACAGTTACAAGACTTAAATAAATGGGATTGATTTATTCATTTGCTTTTAGGAGATAGACAAACCTAGATTCTCTGCTTTACTATTCCTTACATCTTGGTGGCCCATATATCAATTAATTCAATCTCTTTGTAGCTGACTCAGAAATTGGAACTCTCTACTGAACATGGACTTGGTGTAACTTATTTTTATTCCTAAGTTGAGACTCAAGCAACAGTTCAAACTCTTCATCATCTTGCCTATATTGAAGATTGCACCTTTCTTATGTAGAAGGTTACACTGAAAATTAGCTCAGAAATGTAAGAGTTCATTTTTTTAGAGCATCACAGTGGCTAGACAAGGTTGAATCAAAGGTCTTTCTAACTCCAAAAGGTCAGAAGATGTGAATAATTGAGAGAATAATGACAGAATGGGCATATACTGACAATCCCCCCAGTACTTTCTATTTTCTGGAGAGCTACACACACTGCACATAGGTGATCTATATTAAATAAATCCTTATTTATAAATCTATATTAAATAAATCCTGCTACAAAATTGTTAGATTTCAATTCCACAAACTTGTCCAAGCAAACCTGTCTTGCCTTTTAAACTTATTCAAGCACTTAATACTCCCTGGCCAAAGATATTGAAGGCTTAAATACGTGTTGCATGGAGGACTAATGCTTCTTTCGTTTCTTTGCATCTGACTCATTGCCATTTTTTGTTGATGTTTCCCTCAACAAACCAAGTCTGAGAGCTTCACCATAAGGTCTGGCATACTGTTGCCTTTTGCATATTGATAAAAAGATCTACTAACCATTTGCTTACCTAAAGCTGCACTGTAAGAGAAATAGGGACTTAAACTTCAGCAAATCCTATTTAAACTAGGGACTGACGTATCTCTACCAGTAAATGATGACCTGTGTGAAGAGAAAACAACTACTAGAAAATCAATATTTATTTAATATCCAAGGATACAGGCTGTTTTTATCTCTTTTCACATGAAATTACACAGTAGTACATTCAGCATTTTGCTGCTTGGCTTTTCATCAGCAAATAATTTCTTATAAAACCAAGCAGTAGGCCAGCTATCAGCGAAAGGCAGGCATCAAGCATCTCATTTTTTGAGACATGAGAATCTAATAGGAAAATACTGCTGCTTCCAAATCTTTCCTCTGCTGCCTCTATTTAATAGTGTCGCTTTGAATATGCTTGTGGTGCTTTTGCAGGGTGCTGTGATGGCATCAACAGATGGCTGAAAGTAGAACTTGTCTTCTGCAGCCCCAGGACTAGAAAGAGCACTGGCAGTATGACACATGCCAGTCAGGTTGATGCTATGTACTACCAGTTATATGCCATTTCTCATAATCCAGTTTTCTCTGTGTCCTTCAGTAGGACTTTTATTTGCAGAAGTGTGGGCTTAGGATCCACTCACACCTGGGAGGTCTACATCTAGGAGTCGGATGGGAGGTTTGACGCAGGTGTTGAAGTAGGATAAGGTTTATTCACTGAGATGTCTGGCCTTCTGAATTATGGGGTGTTATCATTCTGAACTATGACCTTCTTTTTGCGTGTTTTATGAAAGGTTAGCACTCCCCCTATAAGGATGGAAGAGGCCCTTGTGGCCTATACAACATGCGTAGGGTTAAGGCACTGCCACCTACCTCATGACATCTATGTTTAACCCGAGGTTTAGTTTGAGTATTAGAAACAGGTTCTTCACCCAGAGTGACGCTGGGCACTGGAACAGGTTCCCCAGGGAAGTGGTCACACCATCAAGCCTGTTTAAGTTCAAGAGGCGTTTGGACAATGCTCTCAGGCATATGGTGTGATTGTTAGGGATGATCCTTATGGGTCCCTTCCAGCTCAGAATATTCTGTAATTCTGTGACAAGACTCGTCTTTAAAGTTGCTGTTTGTCCAAATTCACTGGTGGTTGTTCAAAAATATTTGAGGCTATCATACTGCATAAGCATGGCTATTCCAGGATTTGAGGTACAAAGACAAATTCACAAAATCCCTTCCTATAGCTTACAGAAGACTTCTAAATGTGGCTGTTAAGCATGCAGCCAGAGCTGAAACAGGATTTCTCCACAAAACAAGTGAAATTCAGTTTTGGATGTGTAGTGGTAAAATTCCATTTTGCCTCGTTCTTGCAGGTGTTGCCCTCCTTCCCACAAAGTGCTGGGGAAATCCTGTAGAAAAAGAATATAAAACAGTGCTGTGCCCCACCTCCTGGCACTCTCCTGCCTGGCACTGGGGCTATGCTCTGGGAAGGAATACAGCAGGCACTCCTGGTCAGAGCATGGGCACAGAGAGCAGGAGTGAAGGTGCCAAAAGGGCTTCTAGTGAGCAGAGAAGCCCAGCATCTGTCTGTCACTTTTGAAGTCTCCCTATGGAGTGCACCAGGGAGTTTGCTGTGCAGTGGCAGTGGGAAGGCCATACAGATTAAGGTTCCCTCTTCCTCACTGCTGGAGTTCTGTACCATAGCATGGACTCTTTCAGTACTCCAAATCTTTTTTTAGGAGTTTGCTCACTTTCCATGTGCACCAAACAGGTTAGCCTCTCCTTCAGGCAATGAGTATACAGCATTGCATTAGGCCAGCAACATAAGCAACAGCTGCCTAGCTCAAACCACATCATGACACTTGTAGGCATAAAATCATTAACAGAATTTCTAAAATCTGAAGAAAATTTAGTGATGGCTAATTTCCCCAGGCACTCTAGAAATACCTTTTTCTTGTTGAAGACATATATAGGTCAGTCAAGTGTTATCAGTAACTAATTTAATGAGAAAGCTAATACTTTCACTGCTTCAGTCATCAGTTTTTCTAAAGCTGACTCTATTTTCAGAAATCTGGGTTGGTTTATATATATATATATATATAAACAAACACACAAACAAGCAGCAAACAGCACAGTCTACAGATGAGTAATCTATCTCATACTTCATCAGAAGCCTCTGCCACTCCTCCTGTAGTTAGTACTTTTTCTCCCATTTACTAATTCTTTAAGGATTGACCTGACATTTTACAGTTTATCATGATTCAGGAGCAGAGCACAGCCAAAGAAGCTGTTTCAGAAGCACACTGAAAGCAATTTCACTTTGTAACCCAGGCCCTCTGATCCTACTTTGACAGCGTGTATTGAATCAGACTAGGAAAATGGTCTGAAATATTCTAGTCCCGCATGTATTCTGAGCAAGAGAGGGGCAGAACATGACAACTGTGTGAGGGGAGAGAGCTGCCCTTTCCTAAGCACTCAGAAAAATGAGCTGACACTTAATTAGTATGGGGGTGGTCTGGTTTGGTGCTATGGACATAGTTCATACTGAATTTGTGACTTCTCTGCCTAGTGTCTGCAAGATCTGTTACTTTTGATAAAGATCCCAGTACTGTTAGCTTGGAAGTTGCACAGGGCTCCCTGCCTACCTGCAGTCCCGTATGTAAGAAGTAACAAACCCCACGGAGTGCATTAGAGACCTTTTTTCTTCTGTTAAAGTGCCTCGCAAAAATCCTCTGTATAAAAATGAGAACAGTCACCACCTTCTGCAGCGACAGTACCCAACGGCATAGAAGGAAAAATCAATTCAAATTACACAGTAAGGAGTATGGTTGCCCAGGGACTTTCTGTTCTCAGCACTTCCTAACCCTTGAAGTGACCAGTCAGCGATAGAAATCAGACAATGAAGAAAACACTTCTTGAAAGGACTTATTAACCGCTGCTATCACATCATATAATCGTGGTCTCTTCTAATCTACTTTATTATCCTGTTGTTCAGTATGTACATATGTCTGATCCAGTGTGATGGGGGACTTTGCTTTTTTTAAGGTTTTGTGGAGTAAATAATTAAATATCTAACTAAAGATAAGGAAAAAAATCAAGACACCGAGCAAGTTCAATGGTGAAAAAAAACGAGTTGGAATGAATCCCAAGTGATTTTCATTTATTCACTGAGCTGAAACAATTTCCTTGTAAGACACTACAGATTCAGTACACAAGGGTGCTCAAGAATGACACCACCAGCACGCTATATTTATAGTGAGCTATGAAGTACTATGAAACATAAATTAGACACATTCTCTTCAAGTTTGAAAAAAGCTACATAATGGGGTGTCCTGACAAATAAATTTAAAAAAAAAATGTATGCAACTTATGGAAAAATGACTTTGCTATTAAGGTGAATGTTGCTGTTTATTACCTGCCACATAATGGTCCCATTTCTCCAAAGTAGCAAGCAATATGCTTCTGTTAGGAAATACACTCATTTAAGCGGTGCAGATTTAGAAACAAAATTATGTTAATTTAAATTCATTTTTAATTTGAATTTTCTTCAAAATTTAATTTTAAATTTTATTTAATATATGAGGCCACACAGTTTCAAAATGCTATCTTAGGAGCTGCTCCTCTTAGTACAACTCCTGCTGGTTGTACAAGGTGGTGTTTGAAGAAATTGACTATTAACAGCATTTTTCAGTCTCAGATCATAAAATTAAAATACAATGGCAAAAAAAAAATTGATTGAAATATCAAAGTTACCAATAGCTATAAATGAAACTGGATTAAAGGCATATAGAGTGTAGGAAAGACTGATTAAAATGGCAAATTGTAAATCCATTGAAAAGTAAATTCTGTGCACAGAGGCGTAACTAGTTGCAGAAAGACGGAAGGACACAGACACGGCCTGTGACACATATAAACAGGAACATGCTGCAGTCTCCTGTTACATAGACACCAAGGGAGATAACAGTGCAAACAATGAGACTGGCAGTGCCAGGGCTGTGACTGAGCAGAAAGTGGCTTGACCAAAGAAAACCTCTCAGGAAAATGAAAATAGTTTCTTTATAAAGACTTCTGAAAATTTTATCAGTTCTCAAAAGCAAACAGCAAAACTTCCTAAAACATCTAAAATGACTTCTTTAAACTAAAAATTAGTAACTAGCTCTTATGGCATTTTGGTTTTTCATTGTTCCAGTAATATTTAATAGTAGTCTCCTAACCTTATTTCAATATAGGAAAAAACATCCACTAGAATGTGGGCTAACTGGAAAAGTTGTCTGATTTTGCTTTGAAAAGCCATGGGAAGCCTTTCCATTTTCCTACAAGAATCAGATGAGAGCAAATCAAATGGATGAGGAGAGCTGGCTCCAGTAGAAATGCATTTATTAGATAGAAACAGAACTAGGTCAAATTGTGTGAAGAGTACATGCTTTATAAGGGAAAGCCCAAAAGTAAAGAGAGTGTGGAAAGGGATTCATTGCTTATCAAGCCTGGAGGAAGATAAAATATGAAAACAATTAAATGTCTGAAGGATTACAGTATTATCAATATTAAGAATGTGTATTAAAAAGATTAGCATAATTGACAATGATTTAATATTGTATAATTTAAAGTGTAAGGACCTGCAAGAGGCTAGAAATAGTGTTGTCAAAAGAAAAAGCAATCTCTTTCTGCCTATGTTTACTTTTCAAAAATGTTACATCGTGACTTTTTCAGTGAAACATTGAGATTTTGATAAAAACAAGTTCTTCTATAGGCTGTGCCTCTTTTCCATTTGAAAAAAACCAACAAATTTTCACTGAAAACAATCTTAGGTTTTATATTTACAATGAAAATTGTAGAGGCTTTTCAAAAAAAGAGCCATTTTCTGATGCAGCTACCTTTGGATACCTCAGAAAGAGGCCTGGAAGTGCATTCATGTTGAAATAGCTAAGACAGGAATTGAGAGAAATGGAAGCAGCTTGGAAAGGACATTTGTGGAAACAAAGACAAATGAGTGTTAAAAAAATATTTGTGCTAGGCTGATTCAAATGACATTGTGAGTCATGGGAAGCAAGAAAATAATAAGAAAAACAGAGAACTGCCTTGGGAGACTGATGGGGCTCGTACTCTTCACCACCCTTCCCAAACTGATGACTCTCAGGATTCTGGGTGACCAGCTGAGGAGGAGCCATCCCCCCAGTGAAGGGCAAGTTGAGTAGTTCTACAAAGGTGCTCTGAAGAAGAACAGGCAGTTAATGTGGGGAGTTGCATGCACATGAGCTGATTTGCTTGCATCTGTTTGCCATAATAAGCAAGCAGTTAGGTCTCATTGCTCCATGTACCCAACCACATGAGTTGTAAAGACAGTACTGAGAGAAAGAGATTTGCAGTGAAATTGCTTGAGTAGACTAAACACAGAAGGAACATTTTAAATTAGCTGGATTCAAATGTCAGCTCACTTCAAAAATTAGAATTAATCTGATCTATGGCTGTCTTGCACGCCTGTCAGCATCAGAAAATCACTAGCTGGCAAGAAAACAAAACTGGCTGTCTGCTCTAGACCAGGACAGCAGAGCTATCAGATATCAGGAAAGTTTTTACTTCTCTTAATGAAGGGAAACTTAGGGAAAAAAAGAAATTAACTTTAAAAGACAAAACTCCTCTACCATAATGGTAAGAAAGAAAATTCAAATAACATGTGTTATTAATAGGGAGAAGGAATAGAAACTATATTATTAATAAGAATAGTAAATATTTACTTCAAATAATTGCATTCTTGTGAATGCTGCCTGTGAATTAACTCCCATGAATACAAACATGGAATTACTCATTATTAATCCATGTTGTCATTACTACATTTCTGCTTCTTTCTTTGGGTCCCAGTCTTTATTTTCCTCATGAACATCTCCCACTGAAGGCCAGGGTAAGAAGAGCC